TTCCGATGCAGCTAAATAGATTTTATTGTGTGTATGGTGAGATTATGAAGGTATAAGTCACCACGAGTTGTTGAAGTCAAATTTAACGATTACTGCGGATAAATACATTCAGCAATTGCAAAGAGTGCAAGAGAAACTCCTAGAAAAGCGCCCTGCACTCGTCAATCGTAGAAATGTCATTCTTTTACACGACAACGTGTGACCGCATACAGGAAGGGTGACTCAAGAAAAAATTCTTGAGCTTGGATGGTCTGTTTTACCATATCCACCTTACTTCTCAGATCTTGCCCCGACAGACTACCACCTTTTCTGTTCCTTACAAAACTTTTTAAATGGAAAAACCTTCAATTCTGAGGAGCAAGTCAGGCAGGCTGTTGAAAGCTTCTTCCAGTCCAAACCAACCACATTTTACAAGGAAGGAATTGATAAACTACCAGGAAAATGGGAGAAGGTTATAGAAAATAGTGGTGAATATATAATAAAATAATATAATTTTGTTGTTTAATGAGAACGAAATAAATGTCTGATAAAAAAACGGAAGTTACTTATGACTCGACCTAATATATTAAGATACATTATATAGATATATTAGGATATATTATAGAGTAGTATCTACTTCTATCTATTCTCATTGTCAGAATAGTATCTATCAGAATTTTGATACTTATCTAAATCCAACGAGAATCTACTAGAATGCAAATTTTGTATCTATCAGAAAATTTGAAGTAAGAATGCAATCTTTTCGACGTATTGTCTTCGTAACAACAACTGAATCACTATAGTTAATAAATGAATGACGTAAGCACGTGGAAATTAAATGCTTAGGTACACGTAGTTGGAAAGGGTAGCAGAGAAGGATCTCTGAAACCTGCGGATTCTTTGACACCCTCTGGTCCTCTTCCTATTTTCACGAGAATCTTGCAGGACGACTGCTGCAGGATTGGAGATACTCTTCGTCTCTCTTGCCAAGGTATTCTATAAACTCTACATGTAATATCCTCAAACTTTTTTATCATACATATTCTACAGACAAATTGTGTCATATATGTTCTTTGCCTTCTAAACATTATCCCGAAGAGTGTTATTTATTAAAGAGAGAAATTTATTAGATGATAAATGGAGAAGTTTATCAAGTTTGATAATTATTTGTTGTCATCGAATGTTTCAAGCTTCTTTCGATAGATTAAAGATTCATTAATAATGTTATAATATATTGTATTATAATTGCTCCTTTAATAATAAAAATTGAGTAAAAATTGAATGTTATATCTTTTATTCGTAAATAGTCCAAGTACCACCATGGCCGAAAGCAATCACGTGGTACAACAAGGAAGGCAGAATCGAACCCAGCGAGAAGTACCATGTGATGGAGGACGGCCTCGGTGGATATTCCATAGAGGTGAACCCCGTAGAAGCCATGGACGAAGGCGAATGGAAATGTGTCGCCACGAGTGCCGAAGATATGAAACAATTTACAACTTGCTATGTTGCAATGTCCAGTAAGTAAAATTATATTGACACTTTCAGAAAAATTACATTTAGTACTGCAACTGACAAAACTTAATCCTTAACTTTATCCAACATCACACTGACAAGGTGCTATTAAATTTGTATTAATTATTAAAAGTAAAAATTGCATTACAAATATCAATACCAAATTTCATTATAATTTCAGTGTCACATTGTGATATTTACACTATTCGATTTTCTTTATGGGATCAGTATTAAGTTACAGAAATACAATATTCTTGCGAGACAGCCTTATAAGCCAAAGTTTATTATATTATATAGATTCTAATATAAAAGATAAGCGATGAACTAATTTATATTTTGATTCAAGTTCCAAAGAACTACAGGAAGCCACGCTTCATGGAGAGCTTGAAAGCTGTCCTGACAGAAGAAGGTTTGGTGTCCTTCGAGTGCAAGGTCGTAGGATTTCCCACACCTCTCCTCAGGTGGTTCAAAGATGGCCAGGAATTAAAACCAGGAGACGTTTATCAATTAACTGGGACCAACTCCTTAGGTATCCACACTACACTCCAACATTTATAATATATTTATATGCAATAAAAAAAATCATTCAAATTATATTTTTCATTCTCAACATTTTTTTTTTAATTTTCAAAAAGAAATTACTAATAACTTTTGCAGAAAAATAAAAATGTATTCTTTTATTTTTTAATATCCTATATTTAGTGTCACGTTTAAAACAACCTTATACAGCAGAACACACTATAATTACAGTTACATAGAATGACACACTAAACGATTATATAATGAAACCACTTTAATTACAAACTCAATGTACATTATACAAAATCAATTTTCACTGCGACATTTAAAACTTCAATTATTTAATTGCTATTTTCATTTTGTTGCTATAATTCTGATTTGTCCATGTTGCTAGAATTGTCACTTTCTTGCTATAATTTTAACTTGATCATATTGCTACAATATTCACAATGTTGCTATAATTTGTATTTGTCTATGTTGCTAAAAGTGCCACAATTTTAATATCTTCATGTTCCTACAATATTCATGATGGACACAATTTTTATTTGTCTAAATTGCTACCAGTTTGATGCTGCTACACAAATTTCTGTTTGTACATGTTGATACGATTTTCACAATGTTGCAATAATTTATCAGGATCGTACTGTTGCATCGCGAGAAACTGCATGGGTGAAGCGAAAAGCACAGCTGAATTGACAATCGAAGATATTCAGAATCAGTTGAACGAAGAAGAACGCCTGCAACTGCTGACTACGAACCAGCCACCCACGTTCATCAAAGGTCTAAGGAGCTGCGAGGCAAGAATCAACGAAGAGTTTCATTTTACCGTACAAGGTAAAAGCACTGTTTCATACCTAAAAATTTAGAGAACCAGAGATTGCACATTCGAGTCGACTTGTAGTAATAACATGAACCTAACGAAAAAATGTTCAGTGTCTCAATTTTGTTGAGTTATAAAGTTTAGTTCATTTGAGATTGATATCTAAGATCGAGTTTAGCCTAATAATATCTATTCAAGAATACCTATTATTAGCCTGAACTCTGAAGTTTGTACCGTCTCGGTAGGCTTCCCAACATAGAGCTTTTGTCATCGTACCGACACAATCCTAGCATAATTCTAAAAATAATAGTTCATAAAAGCCCAGTTACATTTCCCCAACAAAGTGAAAGGACAAACGACGCAGGCGAAAGACGACGCGTCGCGTTCGTTCCTCATCGATGTAATATTTTAAGCAACGAATAATGTTCGAATCGATAAATTTACAGTCAGTATTTCCCCGGTGCCAAGTCTCGCTTGGTACAGGGACGACGTGCCAGTCGAGGAGAATGAAAAATATCAGATTGCCAAGGAGAATCTTGGCACGTGCCATCTCGACGTAAGAAAGCTCGAATTCGTCGATCAAGTAAGTACCTGCAGGAATAAATTAATCGTTCAACAAATGCGAGGAATAAATTAATCGATTTATAGGCCGAGTGGAAATGCGTGGCTTCCAACGAATTCGGCGAAAGCGTCTCTTCCTGCTTTCTCAAACTAATCATTCCCAAGCACTACAAGAAGCCCAAGTTCCTCGAGAGTCTGCGCGCCATTTTGTCCGAGGAGGGTGCAGTGAACTTAGAGTGCAAAGTGATCGGTGTCCCACAACCGATTCTTAAGTGGTACAAAGATGGTGTCGAGTTGAAACCCGGAGATATTCACAGGATTATCTCGGGACAGGATGGAACGTGTTGTTTGGGGACATACACGTGTGAAGCTACCAACTGTATGGGAACTGTCAGTAGTTCTGCGTCCCTTTTGGGCTTTGAAGGTTAGTTTGATGAGATCAGTTTGTGGTCGCTCGATAAGTAACGGATTTTGGGCCTTTGGGGGCTTTTGGAGACTTAGGTGGCGGTCACTTATCGAGCAGTCAATGTTCCATGAGAACAACTCAACCCAATGTTTATCTATTCCATAATATTGTTCGATAATAACTGATATTTCGTTCAGCTTAATTCAATTTTACCAGATTTTGGGGTTTTGGAGATAGGACTTAGGAGGCGGTCACTTATCGAGCGGTCAATGACACAGCTCTCCCAACGTTTATCTATTCCATAATATTCTACGATGATAACAACTGGTATTTCGTTCAGTTTAATTAAATTTTACCCGAGTTTGGGGTTTTGGGGCTTAGGACTTAGGAAGCGGTCACTTATCGAGCGGTCGACGACCCAACTCGTTCCAACGTTCCAACGTTATCTGTTCCATAATATTCTTTTTACTCTCCATAATATTTCGTTCAGTTTAATCGAATCTTACCCGAGTTTGGAGCTTTGGGTTAAGTCTTAGCAGACGGTCATTTATCGAGCGGTCAACGACCCAACTCGTCCCAACGTTTATCTGTTCCATAATATTCTTTCTACTCTCCATAATATTTCGTTTAGTTTATTTGAATTTTACCCGAGTTTGGGGCTTTGGGTTAAGACTTAGGAGGAGGTCATTTATCGAGCAGTCAATGACACAGCTCTCCCCAACGTTTATCTATTCCACATTATTCTATCTACTCTCCATTCTTCGTTCAGTTTAATTGAATTTCACCTTGTTTTGCAGATAAATTTCCAGTTCGCAAAGAAGCGAAAGAGCCCATGTCACCCAATGGCCATGAACTCGCCCGGAACTTGTCCCTCTCAACGATTCACGAGGAAAGAACATCTCAATTGTACGACACACCGCAAACTGACCATTCCGTCACGTTAGACGATCGAGGAGAAGTGTCCTTCAGCTTCGATGGCAAGGAAGTTTCCGTCAGCCTGTACGAAACGCCTGATCTCACGGAGGAAGAAGCTCTACAGATCGTGGAGATGTATGCTGATCAGTTATCTGAGCACGTGACAGGTGTGTAAACTTTTCCTTTAGGTTCAAGCCCAAGAATGTCTCATATCATCTCCAATACTTAAAATCACAAATATTTATAAAAATTTTAATTATATTTTCCAATGCACATCTGTAACTTACAACAGGCCATAATATTGTCGGGAGACTATTTTTCCTATCTTGGTTTTGAAATCATAATAATTAAAATGATTACATGTTGCAGAGCACAACGTGATCGAGCTGCCGCCCATGCGATTCGTCAAGGAGTCCTCCAACTCAGGAAACTTGTTAATGGAGGCGGTGGTGATCGACGTCTCCCCAGACTACTTCGTCAGCGCCGAAGACGGCGACGATCTTCGAACCGAGGCTGATTTCGAGGACGTATCCATATTAGACGACGTGACTCGAGTATTTTCCTCCCCCGAACGCGATTCCCGTAGCTCCCTGAAAAGATCAGCTAGGTACAGCTTAGAGGACGACGACAAGCCACCTTCGAGGCCGCCTCGGAAGAAGTCCTCCTCCTCCTCGAAAAGCGAGAAAAGCGAGAGAAGTCAGAAAATTGAGTCAGAAAGTTTCCACAGTGCTCAGAAAGACGAGCCGTTCTCCCCAGTCTCTCCGATGTCTCCGGTGTCCTCCTTGAAACAGGACGACAGCGACACCTTTGCTGACGCTTTGTCTTCAGCGAGGTTGTCTATTTCTGAGAATCAGCTTCATAAACAGTACGAGGCCGAAGACCTGAAACGCAGTCTCAGTGCAGAGAAAACCGCTGGGTCCAGCATAGACGACGGAATAGGCGGAGACTCTTCCTTTGACTCCGTGACTGGCGTGCCGAAGAAGAAGAAGCACAGGAAGAAGAAGCACAAAAAAGAGAAGGGCAGCTCCGAGGAGTCATCAGTCGGCAGCGAGCTCGATGGCAAAAGACGAAGAAGCGGATCAGCCAGCAAGTCCGAGATGCACCAGCGTATAGAGTCCATAAACAAAACGGAAGAGCCCTACGTGGAGGACGTTGCCGATAGATCCAGCGAGAAGAAACCTTCGAGCGACTCTGACAAGTCCCTGTCGAAGAGTAACAAAGAACGGCTGCTTGACAATATGAAGAAGATGAAGGACCCTGTTCTGATCGTGAGAGACACTCTGGTGAGCATCGACCAGTTGGAGACGAAGCTGAACTCCGAAACCGAAGAGCAGTGCAAGATGATCATCACGGAAAATATTATTAAACCCATACAAAACTTGTGTGAAGAGGTGTCCTCCATAGAGTCCAAGGCCCTAAAGAGTGCAGGAGACAGGTCGTTGACACAGACTGTTCGCATTTCGCTGCTGGAAGCGATTGGAGGACCAACCGAGGAGCTACTTCGGGGTATGGAGTTGATCAACCGTCAGGAGAACGTGAAGAGTCGCAAAACAGACCTGTTAGCTATACTAGAAAGTCTGACGGACCCCGTAGATGAGATTCTTATGGGTATCACGAAGATCGAGCACGAGTTGACGGGTAGAGCCCGGGGTGAGAAACCTGTAGCTCTCATCAGGATGACGTCTGCTGTGTCTAAGTTGGATGAGAATATCAGGAAGGTTCTGACTGTGGATAAAAAAGCTACGAGACTAGTTGCTAGCTTGGAGGATATACTGAGCACCTTAGACTTCTTCTTGAATGATGTATCTGTGGACCCTGCTAAGGGAAGCATAGAAACTGTGGACACTGTGGTGGTGGAGTCGCTGTCGAAGTCCGTGGAGGACATGGCGAAGGCCCTGGGTCGTTTCTCGACCACGAAGACCGAAGTCACCAAGGTGGTAGACGAGCTTCTGACTCCCACACGCGAGCTGAAGGCCAAGCTCGACACCCTGAAGTCAGCGTTGGAGACTTATGAAACCAAAGGCATCTTGTCGGAGCATCGAACAAAATTAATCGAGTCTCTACAGGAGTCCGTGGGGCAAAGCATGCAGGAGATCCAGAGAGTGAAGGAGAAGACAACGGAAGAGAAGGCACCGGTCGATCAAGCTAAACCAGATATTCTGAAGGAAGTTAGGCTGACACTTCGCGAGGCGCTCAAGTCGTACGAGAACATCGCTGGTACTCTCGATCCTCGACTCTCCACGGTGTTCGATCGAGTCGACGAGATGTACCGAAGACTGAGGACGCCGCAGAAGAGGGACATCAGCATCGAGTCGCTGGTGAACCTGGAAGGTCCTCTCTACTCGCTGCAGTGTGCTCTGACCTCGATGGCGCTCGTCGAGAACTCCCAGATGGTGTTCAAACTACTGGAGCCCGCGATATCTCAGCTGAAGTCGACCATGACGAGTTTGGACGAGAGCTCCTTGAAGCCTGCGCTGGAAATGTTGCGCAGCGTCGAGAAGATCGTCAGCGGAACAGCCAACGAATATGAGGAGACGATTTCTTCGAGGTCCGCACCGGATGAGCCTCAAACTCTGACAGATAGGATACTAGATCCTCTGATCGACGTGCAGTCCGCTCTCAGCGCGGCTCTTCAGAGCATAGAGGATGTGGACTCCGTCACGAACGGAGCGCCCAGTCCTCAGAAGATATTGGCCTCTTCGGAAATCGCGGCTTGTCTCATAGAGCTGAGGCAGTGCGTGTCCGACACGGCGCACACTGCGATGACGCTGAGGGAGGACGAGACGTTGAGCAGTTTGCTCGATCTGAAGGAACCCTTACTGGACCTACAGGTGGCGCTTGCGTCCGAAGAGAGAACCTTTCAAGAACTTCAAGTGATACGCAAGGTAAACTTGCCTATGGAGAAGATGAAGGTCGTGTTATCCTCCGTGCTGCGACATTGTGAATCGAAGGAGACGATTCAAGCGGTAAATGACATCTGGAAAATGTTGGAAGAAATCGAGAAGCAGCTGCCGAAGACCGTGGCGAGGATAATAGAAGTTGAGGAGGCAAAGAGACATAATCTGGAGGGTCTGAATCTGGACCACAACCTGAGCAACATCCACTTTGCCTTGTCTTCAGCTTTGGAGAAACAGGAGAAGAGTTTCCCGAACCGAATAACGAGTTTGACCATCTGTATCGAAGAACTGAGACAGAAAATTGGCTCTTCCGCTGTGGCCATTGCAAACTTGAAGAATCCCGTTGACGAAGAAATAGTGGCACAAGTCTGTCAGGTGAAGGAGACCCTGCTGAGTCTGCAGAGGTCTCTGCTGACCCAGGAACACGACCCTGAAGAGGAACAGTTGTTGAAAGATTTGATAAGTCCGGTCGAGAAGCTGAAGAGTATCGTTCAGAGCATCGTGGACAGCGACGCGAAGTCCGACGCGGTTCTTCCGGTTTTGGAGCTACTGGAAGAGATAGAGAAGGACACGCCTCTGATCGCGAAGGAGGCATCCAAGAAGAAGGCTCAGAAAGAGTCAGAGAAAACTAAGGCTGAGGAGAAGAAGCAGAAGACTCCCACTTTTGAACTGGCTGACAAAATCAGTAGATCTCTGGATCCCATGAAGCACTGGCTCTCGACTACCTCTGAAGACAGCATCAAAGAGGAGGAGGAGTCCGGTCTGAGCTCAACGGTGGGTGAACTGAAGCGGGATATGAACAAAATCGCCATAGAAACATCTTACTCTGAACCACCCACTGATGAAAGCTTGATCGAAGCTCTAATCGACCTTCAGGAACCCCTGACCAGGCTTCGCAACGCCATATCGATGTACCATGAGCCTACAGATTTAAGCACCTTGGAAGGACTCGGTCAACCTATGAAGTATCTCCTTCAGACTATCATGACAGTTCTCCGAGACCACGCTGAAGAGCAGTCCCTTCAGCCGGTAGTTGACATCGTTGAAGAAATCGAAAACCAAATCCCTATTTCTATAAAAGAGGCTCTTTACAAGAAGGAGCTGAAGGAGATGGTGAAGTCCATGACGCAAGAGACGCCGGCAACGTCTCAGGAGACCATTCAGGAAGAAACTATTCCGAAGACCGAAGTTGTGGTGCACACTTCTCAGGAAACCACAGCCGAGGGCACCCTGGCGAGCAGCACCATGCTTCAGGAAACACAGCTCACGGAGTCCGTGATCGAGCAGACGTCCATCGAGGAGACCTCTCAGAGAACGGACCAGATCACCATGATCGAAGACGTCCCAAAGAAGGAAACGGAGGCGAAGAAGGAAGAAGCAACTAGGCTGATACTTTCTTTGTCCAAAATTTTGGAGAATGTTCAGATGGACGTGACGGGTATCCTGGAGGACTTCGAGCAGCCCACGGCTGGAACCACCACCCTGCCAACTTCGAGTCTGGCTAATACTTTGGAAGAACTTAGGCAAACGATTTCAGCCATGAGGGTGGAGACTGGAGGTTATGGACGATCCGTTCATCCATATGAAGAGACTGTTGAAGAAACGGCTTCCGTGTTGAAGTACCTCGTGCAGCCTCTGATTAATCTTCAGGAAGTTCTTCGGGAGCATCAACACGGCGCTAGAGAGCTACTGATCTTAAATCACCTGATTCAGCCTTTGAACGCTATCGAGGAAGAAGTGATCAATCACGCGGTAGAGAAGTTGGACCGCCATTCCAGTTTGGTGGAATGCAGTCAACCTGTTCTTCGTCTTCTCGAGGAGATACGACAGAGCGTCCCAGTTGTGGTGAAGGACATTTACTCGAGGCAGGAGCTGCTGGAGTCTCTTCGAGACATCTCGAAGCCTCTGGAGAACATTGAAGAACGGATGAAGGTCTTAGAGAACGAAACTGAAGACACTCTTGAGACGGACGTGGCGAAGTTCTTGGTCAATCCGTTGGAGTACCTGCTGAACACCATTAGCGTCACTTCTAGGGAGCTTCAGGTCCTGGATCAGCGAAGGGAAGTGATCATCGAGCTCCGCAACCTTGTGGAGCCTCTGGTTGAGTTCTTGAGTTGTCTCTCCGTCGTTCAGAGCAGTCGCAAGAGTCTGGTTCCTGAAGCGGCCTTACTAGATGAAAGGCGTAACGTGATCCTCAAGGCTGTCGAAGGTCTACAACGTCAAACTTCCAGCATTCTGGAGAGGATTCCCAACCTTGAAGGAGCATCGCTCTTCGAGGGACCACTGATGTCATTAAAGAACGCGACTGCCTCCGTCCAGAAGCAGATTGGCAAAACCGACTACTCCCGACGACCCAGCAGCGTCGAATTCGCTCTTCAGTATAACCTTGCCTGCTCATTCGATCATTTGGGTACCACAATCGCTACTTTGGAAGAGAACGCTGATGAACCGATCAGGCAGGTGATCTCCAAGTCCCTGGAGGCGCTTCAGAAGCAGATAAGTTTGTCGCAGACGCATTTCCTGCAGAACAGAGAGCAGCCTGTTGACGAAGAAGCTATTGTGGAAGGGTTTCTGTACCCGACCAATCAGCTTCAGTCGGCTTTGACTGTGTTGAAGGAGAAGATCGACGAGAAGACGATACCGGCTGTATCGATTCAGTCGGCGAGACTTCTTCAGGCACTGGCGAGTTCTACGTCGCAGTTGGCTTCTTCTTTGTCGTTGCATAGGGTGCAGCTGATTCGCAATGGAGCGTCTGAAGGATCGTCTTTGGTGGAAACTTTGGCGGCTGTGGTTGATGTTCTGGAGAGTGTGAAGGACTCCATTATAGCGATTGAGAAGACTGTCAAGAAGGATGTTGAGGGGATGGAGGAAGTTGAGGATAGGACTGCTGTAGTGAATGTGCCGATTACTATCACGGAGATTGAGACTGTTGTGGAAGAGGTTATTGAAGTTTCGAAGGAAGAGATAGAGAGTGTGCTGACGATTGAGAAGTTGTCGCCTGAGAGGGATGAGGTGAGGATCGTGGAGGTGAAGTCGGAGGAAATGGGTGGGGAAACGATGCTTGCTGTGATGAAAGATGATAGCGTGAAGAAAGAAGAAATGAAAAAACAGGAATCAGGAGAGAAAGATGTTTCTTCAGAGAAGAAAGAAGAGCATGTTGAAAAGAAAGAGGAAATCGTGAAGGGAAGCGAGAAAGTAATATCTGAACAAACAGAAACGAAAGAAGAAATGATAGAAATGAAAGAAGCAGAGAAGCTGACTGAAAAGGTAGAAGAATTGTCAAGGAAAGAAGCAGATGAAAGTACGAAAGTGTCTGAGAAAATAGAAAAAGAAGAAAACATAGAAGAGCAGGTGAAAGAAACAGGGACAGTGGAAACATCAAGTGAAAAAGTAGAAGAATTGGTAAGGAAAGAAGCTGATGATAAAACAAAACAGTTTGAGCAGATAGAGAAAGTGGAGGAAGAAGTAAAAGAAAAGAAGGAGGTAGAAATGTTGACCGAGGAAGTACAGGTACAGGTGAAGAAAGAGACAGATGATAAAACAAAAGCAGTTGAACAAGTAGAAGTAGAGAAAAAGGAAGAAACAGTGCAAGTACAAGAAAAGAAGGATGTAGAAGTGAAGAAAGATGAAGAAGTAAAGAAAGAAACAGATGACAAGGCAAAAATGTCTGAAAAAGTAGAAGAAATAGTGGAAGAACAAGTAAAGGAAAAGAGAGATGAAGAAATGTTAATTAAGAAAGGAGAAGAAGAAATAAAGAAAGAAACAGATGAGAAGGCAAAGGCGTCTGAAAAAATGGAAGTAGAGAAGAAAGAAGAAATAGTACAAGAGCAAGTTAAGGAAGATATACAGGCACAAATATCTGAAGAAGCTAAGAAATTGCAGGAGAAAGAAGAAAAAGTGGAAGAGCAAGTAAAGAAAGAAGGAAAGGAAACTTCAAGTGAGAACGTAGAAGAATTAACAACAAAAGAGAAGACTGACAAAGTAGAAGAGCCAGAGGTTAAAAAAGAAGAGCAAGAAAAACAAGTAAAAGAAAAGCAAGAAGTAAAAATAGTATCTGAAAAGACGGAAGAATTGTCGAAGAAAGAAGTGAGTGAGACAGAAACATTGGAACAAAAAGAAGAAGTTCAAGAACAATTAAAAAAAGAAAAAGTAATTGAAGCTTCAACTGAAAAGACGAAAGAATTGGAACAGAAAGGAACAGATGAGAAGGCTACAAAATTGGAAAAGGAAGAAAACGTCGAACAAAAAGAAGAACAAAAAGTAGAGATTTTATCTGAGAAAGAAGAGAAGGAAGAAAGGAGTGATCAAACCTCTGAACAGCAAGAACTTGTTAAGAAAGAACAATTATCTGAAAACCTTCAAGAAGTAGTAAAAAAAGAAGAGCATATTACTTCTGAAAAAATAGAAGAAGCGAACAAAGAAGTAACAGAGAAAACAGAAGTGGTAACAGAAGAAAAAGTGACAGAAAAAGTGGAAGAAGCTACTGAAAAGAAAGAAGCTGAAGAACTCTCTTCTGATCAAGAAAAAGTGATCCAAAAAGAAAAAATTGCAGAAGTTTTGTCAGAAAAAGTGGAGGAGCTAACAGTACAAGAGGAAAAGGTTGAAGCGTTACCTGAGGAAATTGAAGAATTAGCGAAAGCAGAAGAAAAAGTGGAAGTAGTGTCTGAAGGAACCGAGAAACCGAGAGAAGAGAAAGTAGAAGTGCGATTAGGAAAAGTGGAAGAAGAACCTGAACCGGAGAAAAGTGAGATGAGTACAACTGAAGGATCGGAATTGATGAAGAAAGACGAGATGGTGGAAACATTGACAGAGAAGAAAGAAGAAAAAGTAGAGACACCAGCAGAAAAGAAAGAAGACAAGGTAGAGATACCAGTAGAGAAGAAAAAAGACAAGGTACAAACATCAGCTGAAAAGAAAGAAGAGAAGGTAGAATTACCAGTAGAAAAGAAAGAAGAGAATGCAGAAACATCGGCTGAAAAGAAAGAAGAAAAAGTAGAAATATCAGCAGAGAAGAAAGAAGAAAAAGTAGAAACACCAGCAGCAAAGAAAGAAGAGAAGGCAGAAACACTAGCAGAAAAGAAAGAAGAGAAGGTAGAAACATCAGCTGAAAAGAAAGAGGAAAGAGTAGAGACACCAGCAGAGAAGAAAGAAGAAAAAGTAGAAATACCAACTGAAAAGAAAGAAGAAAAACTAGAGACACCAGCTGAGAAGAAAGAAGAGAAGGTAGACACATCAACAGAAAAGAAAGAAGAAATAGGAGAAACAAGTAGACTAGAAAAACCAAAAGAAGAGTCATCTCAACAAGAAGTGTTAGCAGAAAAAAAAGAAGAAATAGTTAAAGTGACATCCGAAGATGCAGAACTAGAGAAGAAACTGAAATCCTCTGAAAAAACTGAAGAAGCGAAACAATCCACCAGCCAAACAACAAGTCAAACAGAGGAAGTAGTAAAAAAAGAAGAAAAAGTAGAAGAAAAAAAAACGATAGAAAAACCTGAAGAAACACCATCAAAATCAGTAGAAAAAGTAGAAGAATCTCTAAAAAAAGAAGAAGCATTACCTTCCAAACCAGAAGAATCAAAAAAAGAGGAAGAAAGATCCAAACAAATACAAAAAACAACAAACTGCATCGTCACCGTAGATCAACCTCTCAAAGACTTACGAGATCTCGTTTCTTCAGCCTTGGAAGAACCTCTCTCCTCCAAATCCGAAGAAGAAAAGCGAAAAATCCGAGAACTGACCGCGCTGATACAAATCCTGTACGACTTACGAGCCACCATCTCCTCGATCCAAAACTCTGCATCGCCTTCTTCGATCCCAGAACTCGAAGAGCGCCTCCTACATCTGCTGACCACTTTCTCATCCCTTGATCAATCTGCAGAAAAGATTCTTCGTTTGACTCAGAAAGACCTGACGCCCGCGTTGAAGGAGAATGTGATGGTGTCTCTTCAAATTTTCCTGGAACCTCTGGACACTCTTCGTCAGGAGTTCACTTCTCTTCAGCAGACGGCAGTAAAATCCCCAGAGTATATTTCGCTGTCTATAAACATTCAGAACGTGACAGAGACGATTAGCCAGTTGATGCAAGCAATACGCAAAACCACAGAGCTGAAGAAGGTGAAGATAGTTGAAGAGATCCGAGTGATGGCGTCGATGAGCAAAGAAGAAGACATTGAAGAAACCACTGCGAAACCGCTGGAGGAGCTCATAGAAGCCATTATGGTATCTCAAGAGCACATGAAACCTGACGCTTCTCCGTTCGGATCAGTTTCGCCCTCTGTGGAGCCAGCAGAGCAGAAGCTGGAAGAAGAAATGAAGCTGGAAGCAGACCTCGTGGAGAAGATAGTGAGTCCCATACAAAATCTGCGAGAGTTGGTAGCAAAAATCGAGAAGGAGGAGCTTGAAGAGACAGAAATGCTGGATCTGGAAACGAAGAAGACAACTACCGCCATTTTGAACACTATTATTCATCCTTTGGAGGAGCTGGAGCGATCTCTGAACATCTCTTCCGAACAAATCGTGCAAACTGAAGAAACGGTCAAGGAAATGACACAAACAGCTCAACCTTTGCAATCTTTGCCTGTTGGGGCGGTGTTGGAGGAACTGAAGAGATCTATCGCCACCATTCAGGAAGAAGTAACGCTGGAGTCTGTCAAAGCAACGAAGACAGAGAATAAGGCGGTTGTGAAGGCGATCGAGAAGTCGCTGGAGAACCTGAAGTTCTCCGTGGCCACCGTGCAGAAGATCGCGATGACTGCCTCTGAGAGCGCAGAAGAAATGTCCAGCCAGAAGACGTTGGCTGTGGAGACTTTCGTGAAATCCGTGACCGAATTAGGTGAAAAATGCCTGGCGATTGTCACTCACCCAAAAACTGTGGTGGAGGACGCAACTCAGAAGCTTGAAGAAGTTTTAGAGATGATGGTGCAACCTATACAAGTTCTGCGCGAGAGCACGGCTGAAATAGAGATGCACAAAGCTGAAGAGATGCAAATGACGGAGATGAACGTGATCGAAGCTCTGAAACCTCTGGTCCAGCCTCTAGAGCAACTAGAGCAACTACTGTGCACAGCTGTTCACCAGGACAGCGCAATGAAAACAGAGTCCACTGAAGAAATAAAAGAAACTTCATCCGTAGAGAAATTGAAACTCACGCCAGTTTTGGAGGACTTGCAGAAATCCATCGCGGTAGTTGAAGAACAGATGACTCTTCAAGCTAAAGAGGTCTCTTCATCAAGTGTCAAAATGGAGGCTTCCGTAGCCGAACTGATAGAAAGTCCTCTGCAGAACCTGAAGTCCGCGATGGCGACCATACAGAACCTCGAAACTGAAGAAACCGAAGAACTCACAAGTGAAGAGAGGACTACGGCCCTGAAGGCGTTCGCCAGGTGCCTGGAAGAGATTGGCCAGGTGTGTTCCATAGCTTCCAGCCAGCAGAAGGTAGAAAGTCTTCTGCCGCAGCCACAGGTAGCCAAGTTCGAGCAGCAGGTACTTGAAGCTATATCAGGTCCTCTTCAAGTACTGCGAGAAACGGTGAACAAGATTGAAACGCAAGAAGCTGAAGAACTTGTGACTGAGTCCAAGGAAGCGGCCAATGTGTTGCAGACGTTGGTGCAGCCTTTGGAGCAGCTGGAGAAGTGCTTATCGGTTGCTGTGGAGCAAGGCACCTCTGAAGAAATGAAGGATATCGCAACGGAAATGAAGGAGGAGGTCTCTAAACTAAATGTGGAACCAGTTCTTCAAGAACTGCAGAAGTCTATTGCAACGATACAGGAACAGGTGACCTTCGAAAGTGGGAAAGAGTTGGATGGTAAATTGGAAACCTCCGTGGCGAAGGCTATTGAAGAACCGTTGGAGCAACTGAAGGCTTCAGTGGCGGCTGTTGAAGAGATAGTGAGCGAGCAGACGAGAGAACTGTCTGAAACGGAGAAGGCCTCGATCTTGAAGTCCTTCGCGAAGTCTGTTGAAGAGATTGGACAAAGATGTGTTGCTGTGATGTCTCAGCAGCAGGCGCAGTTAGCTCCTAGGAAGCTGGAGCAGTCGCAGGTGGCGATTCTGGAAGAAGCGATCAGTCCGTTGAAAGCGTTGAGGGAGACCATCGACAAGATCGAAGAAGAAAAGCTTCAAGAAGCTCAGAAACTTGATACCGTGGAGACTAAACAGCTTGAAGAGACGTTGAAGGTCCTTGTAGAGCCACTGCAGAAATTGGAAACCTCGTTGTCTTCGACTGTGCAACAGGCAGTTTCGATGGAACCTGAAAAGACTGAAGAAATGAAAGATAGTGTATCCCCTCAGAAGTTGGACATTTCCCCGGTTGTTGAAGAGCTGCAGAAGTGTGTGGCGACTGTTCAAGAGCAGGTCAAGTTGCAAACAACAACAGCAGATTCCGAAGAGAAGGTTTCGTTAATGAAAGCTGCAGAAAAGTCACTGGAAGAACTGAACTCTTCACTGACGATCATCCAAAGTGTCATCGCCACCGAAACTAATGAAGAAGAAAAAATATCAGACATCGATAAAATAGCAGCTGTTCAACAGTTTGCGAAGTCAGTTCACGAACTTAAAGAGAAGTGCCTAGTAAGTCAACAGCAAGTTGAAGTGAAGGGAACGACAAAGGAAATGGAAAAAATTGATGCTAAAGCTATGGAGACAGTTGTGGTACCTCTTCACGCGTTGAAGGAAACTATTTTGAAGATCCAGGAAGAAAACTTGGAAGAACTGGGAACACTGGAGTCGGAACTGAAGTTGCAGGTGCTAAATCCTCTGGTGCACCCTCTTGAAGAATTAGAAAGGTGTCTGATCACCACAGTTCAACAAGAAAGTCATCAGAAACTGGAAACTTCGGAAGAAATGAAGAAAGAGCCTCAAATGACAGTTTTGCCGATACTTGAAGAGCTGAAGCAGAACATCGTCGTGGTTCAAGAGCAGCTGGCTATGGAACCCGAATCCAAGTTAGAAGTTGTGAAGAACATAACCGAAGCTATCGAAGAACTGAAGACATCGGCCACAGCTGTTCAGCAAGTGGTGGAACAAACTGAAGAGATGTCAACTTCTGCGTTGGAATCTTTCGCGAAGTCGATGGAGCAGTTAGAAGAAAGGTGTTTGGCAATGGTCAAACAACAGAAGGTAGAGAAAATCGAAAAACCTGAGAAACAACAGGGAAAACTGGACGCACAGGTTCTTCAGAAGATCACCAACACGGTTCACGTCTTGCGCGAATCTTTGTCTCAGATCGAAGAAGAGAAAATGCAAGAAGCTAAAGAGCTGAAGGTAGAAGAAACTGGTATAAAATTGAACGTTCTTATCGAGCCTTTGAACGTGTTAGAGAAAGCTTTGATAACAGCAGTGCAAGAAGAGAAAATGACGGAAGAAACCACAGAAGAGCTGAAGATACCTGTAGAGAAGTTGAATTTACAACCCGTTCTTGAAGAGTTGCAGAAATCGATTAGTATTATCCAACAAGAGACAAGCGAAACTGCAACGTCTATGGAGGAATCGAACATTTTGAAAATGGCGGAGAAGAGTCTTGAAGAAATGAAGTTATCTGTCGCTACTGTTCAGGAGATAGTTCAAGATCAGACGCAGGATATCAAGGCAGAGAAATTGGAAGCTGTTGCTAGATCTGTAGAAGAGGCGGGAGAGAGTCTTCTGGCTGTGGCGAAGCAGCAGGAGATGAAGAAAGTTGCTTTGCGCGGTGTGGAAGAAGAACAGAAGGTCTCTGAAGACTTCGTGAAGATGGTAGTGACACCTATTGCTGAGTTATATAACACCATTGTGAAGGTCGACAAAGAAACCGAATCGAAAAAGAAAGAAGCGATAATATTCCTGAACATGGTGCACCCGTTGCAGAAGCTTGAAGAAACGTTCTTATCAGCAGTGCAGGAAGTGAAACAGGAAAGCGTACAAGAAATTCACGCGACAATGCCAATATTACAAAAACTTCCTGTTCAATCCACCTTGAAGGACCTAAACAAAAACGTGGCCGAGATTCAACAACAACTAGTCCTCGCGAGAGAAACCTTGACCCTAACAGGAGACACCGAAGACCTAGCAGTAATAAAGAAGCTAGAACGATCCTTGAGTAATTTGAGAACCTCTGCAGCGATAGTTGAGCAGCTGACAGCGATAGAAGAACCCGGACAACAAATCCTCGATGTGGAAAACGTGTCTGCGTTGCAAGCATTCGGAAAGGCTGTTGAAGAGTTCAGAAAGAGCTGCGCAGCCATAACTTCTAGGCCTGCAGTCATGGCCAGCGTCATTGGAACAATAAACCTTGAAGAATCAGCGAAGAAGGCAACTGAAGAAATCATTTCGGTTCCCATTAAAATACTGCAGGAATCCATCTGCACTATCGAGGAGTTCAAACTGCAGGAAACAGGGATCCTCAGAGAACCTCAGGAGACAGAGGTGAAGAAAGCTACGGTGCTAAGTGAACTGATAGCACCTCTTCAGCAGCTGGAGCAGTCGTTCATGGCTGCTATACAGGGAGAGCACATAATCGAGCAGGCTACAGAGAGTTTTGATTCTGACAAGGCTTCCTTTGAGAAGACAACCTTGAAGCCCATTCTTGAAGAGTTCCAGAAGTCCCTTGCTCTAGTGCAGGAGCACATGGTCCTCGAAGAGGGCGCGCAGAGTCTGTCAGAAGCGGAGGAAGCATCTTTAAAAATGATGGCGCAGACCGTGACAGACTTGAAGACCTCCGTCGCTGCTATTCAACAGATAACCGAAGCACCTGAAATGGCGAGCGAGATGTCGAAGGCTGAGAGCGTCGCCGCCTTCGAGACCTTCGCGAAGTCCCTTCACAACCTGGTGGAGCGAGTGGCGACCATCGATCATCAGCAGATCATAATTGAACCGGCAGCAGACACCATATCAGAGGACGCTTCTTCCTTGAAGACCTGGGCGGACATCGTAGAGGACTCACCGGTTCAGGCACTGGAGCCCATGGTTGTCGACCAGGGCACCATAGAGTCCCCTTCGGAAATAGCTTTCTCGATATCCGAAGACGACGCTCAGGCCCTGAAAGGCTTGGCCAAACCTCTCAACGAGTTGCGAGAGTGTTTAGCCGTGGTTGTCGAAGAGCGGAAGTCGATGGACGCGAACGAAATCGCGCAGTCCATGTCTGAAAAAGAGGACCTCTCGTTGCTGAAGACGATAGCGCAGCCTTTGTTAGAGCTGAAGAACGCGGCGGTGTCTGTGATACTCGAGCAGACCGCGGTGGAGACGGCTGGAGAGAAGTCGTTCGACGAAAAGCAGGAGACTAGCTTGAATCCTCTGATAGAACCTCTTGAAGAGCTCTGTCACTCGATCGCACTGATCGAGGACCAGATTCTCGTCGAGTCGGCTCAAGATCGCACGATAGACGAGGTGTCCATGCTGACGGCCTTGGCGGAGCCTTTGATGACGCTGCAGAGAAGTATTTGTGTGCTCGAAGAACGAGTACTGTCACCAGATGTGGAGTCGCTGCCTGAGGAGTCCAACTGGATCAGCGAGTGCCTGGCGGTTCCTCTGCAGGAAATAGAAAAGTCGATCGCAGAGATTCGTGAGTGTACGGTCGTTGAACCTGAAGAGGTCACGTCGGACTGGTCCGTGGTTGAGAAACTGGTGCAACCTGTGGAGGTCATCAGGATGACCATCGTTGACATGAAAGCGAACGTCGCGGACGAAGTTAGGGAATGTGACCTAATGAAGAACCTGGTACAACCGTTGTCTGAGGTTCATGAAAGCTTCATGTTGCTGAAGGATAAACCGAACTTGACGATTGCTGAAGAAGAAGCGAGCATAGATGCCATAGTGGAGTCTTTGTCTAACCTTGAGAAGAGTATATCGTTCATAGAAGAACAGACCGCTGAGAAGATTCAGCAGATAGCAAATGAAGAAGAGAGCCGAAAGGTAATTGGAGCTTTAACCGAATCTCTGCTGCAGCTGAAAGAGTCGATCATGACGGTGGAAGATTCACCGACAGTGTACCTTGAAAACCTGGAGAAACCTTTGAAGGAACTGCAGTCGGCTGTGGAGACTGTTTCCAAAGCTCAGAGTGAGAAGGTTCGAAAAGAAGAAATGAAGAAAATCGTTTCGTTGGAGGAAGCTACTAGGATTTCGACGAAGCTAACGAATTCGATTAAGGACATAAGTGACTCTATTGAAACGATAGATAATAAGATAGACAGCTTCAAAGGATTGCTGGGTATTGAAATTCAAATTGAAAATGAAGCTTTGAAAACATTGGCGAAACCACTGGAAGGACTGAAACAGGGAATTGAAACTATATTGAAGAAAGAAGAAGTTGAACAAGCGGCGATAGATTCTCTTCGGCAACTGCGAAAGGCAATTGAGGTCGTTTATCAGCAGTCTGCTGATAAACCGGTGGCTGAACCATCGCACTCTGAGGTGGCGGATATTGTTGGTATGTTGAGGACACTGACGCCATGTTTGCAGGAACTGGAAACTTGTATTGAAAAAGTTGAAAGGGTGTGGAAAGAAAATTTAGCTGGGGTAGGGTTGGTAGAGCTGGAGAAACCTGTTACGAATTTGATGGAGACGATTAATATATTGCGGGAGAAATTATTGGGAACTGATATCGTGTGGGTAACAGATGAAGAGAAGAAGAAAGAGGCGAAGAAGAAGGAGAAGGAAGAGAATGAGAAATTGAAGCAAGAGGAGGAAGAACGTAAGAAGAAAGAGGAAGACGAACGTAAAAAGAAAGAAGAAGATGAACGTAAAAAGAAAGAAGAAGAAGAACGTACAAAGAAAGAAGAAGAAGAACGTAAGAAAGAAGAGGAGGCTGATAGATTAAAGCAAGAAGAACAGGAACGTAGAAAAAAAGAGGAAGAAGAACTCAAGAAAAAAGAGGAAGCAGAAAAATTGAAGCAAGAAGAAGAACGTAAGAAGAACGAAGAAGCTGAAAAAGTGAAACAAGAAGAAGAGCGTAAAAAGAAAGAAGAAGCAGAGAAGCTGAAGCAAGAAGAAGAACGTAAAAAGAAAGAGGAAGCTGAGAAATTAAAGCAAGAAGAGGAAGAACGAAAAAAGAAAGAGGAAGCAGACAAACTGAAGCAAGAGGAAGAAGAACGTAAGAAGAAGGAGGAAGCAGAAAAGCTGAAACAAGAAGAGGAACTCAAAAAGAAGGAAGAACAGGAAAGATTGAAGGCAGAAGAGCAAAAGAAGAAAGAAGAAGAAGACAGATTAAAACAAGAAGAGGAGCGTAAAAAGAAGGAAGAAGAAGATAAATTGAAACAGGCTGAAGAGGAACGTTTAAAACAGGAAGAAGCTGAGAGACTAAAACAAGAGGAGGAACGTAAGAGAAAGGAGGAAGAAGAAAAATTGAGACAGGAAGAAGAGGCACGTAAAAAGAAAGAAGAAGAAGAGAGACTGAAACGAGAAGAAGAGGAACGTAAGAAAATGGAAGAGGATAAACTGAAAGAAGAGGAGGAGGCACGTAAAAAGAAGGAAGAAGAAGATCGGTTGAAACGAGAAGAAGAGGAACGTAAAAAGAAGGAAGAGGAAGAAAAACTGAAACAAGAAGAAGAGGCGCGTAAAAAGAAGGAGGAAGAAGAAAGATTAAAAATGGAAGAGGAGCGTAAGAAAAAGGAAGAAGAAGAGAAATTAAAACAAGCAGAAGAAGAACGTAAAAAGAAAGAAGAAGAAGAACGGAAACAGAAGGAGGAACAGGAAAAATTAAGACAAGAAGAGGAGAAAAAGAAACAGGAGGAAGAAAAGTTGAAACAAGAAGAGGAAGCACGTAAGAAGAAAGAAGAAGAAGAGAAGCTGAAACAAGAGAAGGAAAAGAAACAAAAGGAGGAAGAAGACAAATTGAAACGAGAGGAAGAAGAACGTAAGAAGAAAGAAGAGGCTGAAAGACTGAAACAAGAAGAAGAACGAAAATTAAAGGAGGAAGAAGAGAAACGTAAACGCGAGGAAGAAGAACGCAAAAAGAAAGAGGAGCAAGAAAAACTGGAGCAGGAAGAACGCAAAAGAAAAGAGGAAGAGGAAAAACGAAAGCAAGAAGAGCAAGAGCGTAAAGAAAAAGAACAAGCTGAGAAATTAAAACAGGAAGAAGAACGAAAGAAGGCAGAGGAAGAAAGATTAAAACAGGAAGAAGAACGCAAGAAGAAAGAGCAGGAAGAAAAATTAAAACTTGAAAACCGTAAAAAGAAAGAGGAAGAAGAAAAATTGAAACAGGAAGAAGAACTAAAGAAGAAGGAGGAGGCTGAAAAGTTCAAACAGGAAGAGGACAAAAAGAAGAAGGACGAAGAAGAAAGGCTAAGAAAGGAAGAAGAAGAACGTAAAAAGGCTGAAGAAGAAAAGAAATTGAAGCAAGAAGAGGAGCGCAAAAAGAAGGAAGAAGCTGAGAGGATCAAACAGGAAGAAGAAGAAAGGAAGAAAAAGGAAGAAGCTGAGAAATTGAAGCAGGAAGAGGAACATAAGAAGAAGGAACAGGAAGAAGAGCAACGTAAAGCGGAGGAGAAAGCGAAGAAGAAAAAGGAGAAGGAAGAACGTAAGAAGAAAGAAGAGGCTGAAAAGTTCAAGGAAGAAGCGGAACGCAAGAAGAAAGAGGAAGCTGAAAAGTTGAAGGAAGAAGAAGAACGTAAGAAAAAAGAAGAAGCTGAAAAGTTAAAAGAAGAAGAAGAACGCAAGAAGAAAGAAGAGGCTGAAAAGTTAAAAGAAGAAGAAGAACGTAAAAAGAAGGAAGAAGCTGAAAATCTAAAGCAGGAAGAACAAAAGAAGAAAGAAAATGCCGAGAAAAAGAAGGAGAAAGAAGAGAGTAAAAAGAAAGAGGCTGAGAAATTAAAGGAAGAGGAAGAACGTAAGAAAAAAGAAGAAACTGAAAAGTTAAAAGAAGAAGAACGTAAAAAGCAGGAAGAAGCTCAGAAGTTAAAAGAAGAAGAACGCAAAAAGAAAGAAGAAGCTGAAAAACAGAAGCAAGAAGAAGAAAAACGTAAACAAGAGGAAGTAGCAAAGAAGAAAGAAAAAGAACAGGCAGAGAAACAAAAGCAAGAAGAAGAAATTTCCAAGAAAGCCGAATCTGACTCCTTAAGGAAGAAAGAAGAAAAGTTAAAACGCAAGAAAGAGGAGTTAAAACAACAGCGAGAAGAAGACGAAAGAAAAGAAAAAGAAGAAGCGGAGAAACGCAGGAAGGAGCAAGAACAAAGAAAGAAAGAAAGAGAAGAGCGTGCCAAAAAAGAAGAAGAAGAACGCGCCAAGCGCGAGGAGGAGGAGCGTAAGAAGAAAGAAGAGAAAGCAAAACAGAGGAAAGAAGAAGAAGAACGTCGTCGAGCCGAAGAAGCTGAAAGGTTAAAGAAAGAACAAGAAAAAGAAGAACAAAGAAGAGAAGAAGCAAAGCGTCGACGCGAAGAACAAGAAAGACAAATCAGACAGGAAACGGAGAAGATCAGAAAGGCTGAAGAAGAGAGGCTACGAAAAGAAGACGAGGTTCGCGAGTGTAGAAGAAAAGAGCGAGACATGCGACGCCAAGAGGAAGAATCGAAACTACGCAAAGAAGAAGAGGAGAGGATAAAAAGGGAGGAAGAAAGAAGAAGAAAGAGAAAGGAGGCAGAAAGACAGTGGAAAGAAGACGAAGAAGCAATACGAAGAAAAGAAACCGAGCGTCTGGAACGCAGGAGAGCAGAGGACCGTCAAAAACGGGAAGAAATGGACCGTCTCCGAAGAGAAGACGAAGAAAGGCGGCGCAGAAGAGACGAAGACAGGCAAACGAGACGGGAAGAAACAGTAAAAGCCTTGAAGGAAGAACACGAACGTCTGAAGAGACGACACGAAGAAGAAACCTCCAGACTTCGGAAGAGAAGACAGGAGCAGCTAAGAGACGACAGTTGGTCCCGAATGAGACAGACCGAATCTGACCAACTACTGAAGAGATCCGACGACAGCTTTAGACTCAAAACCTATTCTTCGGATATCGATTTCTGGAGGGACAAGATGCATCGATACGATTCCGGTTTCGAATCCGCGCTTTCTAGCGCGTCGCGGTCATATAGTTGGAGGGATTCCTTGACTTCGCTGACGAGAAGAAGAGTGGACGATTTTATCGATTATAAGCTGAGGGACACCTCGATGGACAGGTACTACTTCGACACGGACGGGTACTATCGAAGAAGAAGAAAGAGGGACGAACGAATCACTCGAGCTAGGTCGATTAGTTTGTTGAAGTACGACGACTATTCGACCGGGGATAGCGATACGACTATCACACCTGCCAGCCCTAAATTGTCTAGGTACAGCAGAACGAAAACGAGTAGTCGAACCGACCTGGATGACCGAGGGTCGAGTCTATCGCTGTACCTGCCGCCTATTAAGAGCGAGGTAGGTAACTGCTTAAATTTGGAGACCCCCAAATACCTATCTTCCCAAATTCCCACCTTTTCAAACTTACACCTTCCCAAATTCCCATTTCACCAAATTCCCATCTTCTCAAATTCCCATCTCCCCAAATTCCCATCTCTCCAATTTCCCATCTTCTTAAATTCCCATCCCTCCAAATTTCTATCTCCCCAAATTCCCATCTCTCGAAATTCCCATCTCCCCAAATTCCCATCTCTCCAATTTCCCATCTCTCCAAATTCCCATCTCCCCAAATTCCCATCTCTCCAATTTCCCATCTCTCCAAATTCCCATCTCCCCAAATTCCCATCTCTCCAATTTCCCATCTCTCCAAATTCCCATCTCCCCAAATTCCCATCTCTCCAATTTCCCATCTCTCCAAATTCCCATCTCCCCAAATTCCCATCTCTCCAATTTCCCATCTCTCCAAATTCCCATCTCCCCAAATTCCCATCTCTCCAATTTCCCATCTCTCCAAATTCCCATCTCCCCAAATTCCCATCTCTCCAATTTCCCATCTCTCCAAATTCCCATCTCCCCAAATTCCCATCTCTCCAATTTCCCATCTCTCCAAATTCCCATCTCCCCAAATTCCCATTTCTCCAAATACCTAAGTCCCCAAATTCCCATCTCTCCAAATTCCCATCTCTCCAATTTCCCATCTCCTTAAATTCCCATCTCTTCAATTTCCGATCTCCCCAAATCCTCAAATTCCCAAATCCCCAAAATCCCCAACTCCTCGAATTTTCTAATCTCCAAATCCTCAAGTGTCCAATTCCCCAAATTCTCCAAAATTTCAAATCACCACAATTTTCCCTAAAATATCCCTAGAACGCTCTCATCCACAAATTTCACATCATCCAAAAACTCTACTGCATCAATTCCAAACACTCACAAACTCTCAATAAACAAATCTATTTTCAATACCAATACCCAAATTTCTTTCTCATTTTCACCTCCCAGATCACACCACGTGAAAAAGGAAAGAAACCATCGTTCTGCACGCGACTGACAAACAGAACCGTAGGCGATGGTATGAGAACAAGGTTAACGTGCACCGTACTGGGTCATCCAGAACCACGAGTCTATTGGACGAAGGATGGCGAGAAACTCGACATGACTTCTAACAAATATCGAATTCGATTCGATAACGGTATGGCTTATTTCGAATTGCATGAAGCACACCTCGAAGATTCCGGACTGTATACATGTGTTGCCGAGAATGTTCATGGAGTCGCGAGCACCGAATCCGCGTTAAAAGTTTACCCTGATTTCCAACCAGCTCTGTCACCCCCTACCTTCACCAGATCCATTAAGGGTAAGTTTCTTTGTGTGTTTTATAATTGGGAGGGTAGGTGATTAGTGGAGTAGGTGATTAGTCGTGCAATTGGGAGTTGGGAGAGAAATTTTGGAGGGTGTAAAGTAAGGGTTAGATTAGAGAATTGAAGAAAATGGCGTTGAACTATGTAAAGTTGGGGAAAATGGGAATTAAATGTATGGAATTATACAAAATGGGGTTTGACTATTTAAAATTGTATAAAATGACAGTTGACTATCTAAAATTTTACAAAATGGAGTTGGACTATGTAGAATTGTATATGATGGGGATGGACTATGTAGAATTGGAGGAAATGGAGATTGATTATATAGAATTATACAAAATGGAGGGTGACTATCTAAACTTGCACAAAATGGCGTTGGACTATGTAGAATTGAAGAAAATGGAGATTGACTACGTAGAATTGGAGAAAATGGAGATTGACTGTATAAAATCATACAAAATGGGGGTTGACTATCTAAACTTGTACAAAATGGCGTTGGACTATGTAGAATTGAAGAAAATGGCGTTGGACTGTGTAGAATTAGAGAAAATGGAGATTGACTGTATAAAATCATACAAAATGGAGGGTGACTATCTCAACTTGTACAAAATGGTGTTGGACTATGTAGAATTGAAGAAAATGGCGTTGGACTGTGTAGAATTAGAGAAAATGGAGATTGACTGTATAAAATCATACAAAATGGGGGTTGACTATCTAAACTTGTACAAAATGGCGTTGGACTATGTAGAATTGTACAAAATGGAGATTGACTATGTAGAATTGGAGAAAGTGGAGATTGACTGTATAAAATCATACAAAATGGAGGGTGACTATCTCAACTTGTACAAAATGGCGTTGGACTATGTAGAATTGAAGAAAATGGCGTTGAACTGGGTAGAATTTTACAAAATGGCGATTACCTGTCTAGACTTCTATAAAATCTATATTAACTATCTAAAGTTCTACAAAAAGTAAATTAACTATCTATGGTTCTATAAAAAGTAAATTAACTATCTATGGTTCTACAAAATGTGAATTAACAATCTAGATTTCTACAAAATGTGAATTAACTATCTAGAATTCTACAGAATGACCATTAACAATCTAGACTTCCACAAAATATAAATTAACCATCCAAAATTACACAAAACATAAATAAACCACCTAAAATTGGTCAAACTGTGAATTAACTATTACATATATAACAAACTAGTAATAATTAGTAATAAGAAATTATAATATCAATTGTTTATTGTTAAATAGACATTCATCGACATTTATAAATTGACAATTATCAATGAATTATAATATCAATTTTTTGATATTATACAGACACTTATCGACCTTCTGACAACGAGTTGATTTTGGAATGTCGAGTACGCGGCCATCCTGTGCCACTGATCTCTTGGTTGAAGGACGGTTGCATTTTACAAGGCGATCGTTACAAACAATGTTATTTGGACGATGGAATTTATCGATTAGAAATTGCTGCACCGAATTCGACGGACAGCGGACGATACACCTGCAGAGCGATGAACGACCTACGGACTGAAGAAATATCACACGTGGTTCAATTTAACGGTAATAGACACATATACATATAAGATGCATTTATTAGAGCGGGAAAATTTGAATACATACAATTTCTAAGTTACTATATTTTGCAATTATTACATTTTTAAATTATGGAAGATTTATACTATTAAATTTCTGGATTTATAGATTTTGTCATTTTTATATTTATAAATTTCTGAAGCTCTAAGTTTTGTCATTTTTATGTTTCTGAGTGTTTAAACTTCTAAATTTTGTCATTTTTATGCTTCTAAATTTCTGAAGTTCTAAATTTGGTCATTTTTATGTTTCTGAATATCTGGATTTCTAGATTTTGTACATTTTTATACTTCTGAATTTTTTTAATTTCTACATCTTCCAATTCTTACATTTCTAAAGCTCTAAATTTCTACATTTTCGAATTCTATTTTTTCATTCTACTTCTCCCACATTTATTATCAACATTGTTTGTTTTCAAGAACGAGATCGACGAGTTACGAGCAAACACGACAAATATTTAGACGACTACAGCATCGAAGCTTTAAGGAGGCCTCGTTTCTCCAATTATTTGAGCGATTACAGTGTTCCAACTGGTGGCACCATTGCTCTTCAAGTTGAAGTTAAAGGTATCGAATATCCTTAATAACCCACTCTCTATTATCATCTTACTGGTCAAAAATTAATTATGTATCAGCATGTTAAACAAATTAACAATAACTAAGTCCCTAAAGATTCAAAATTAATCTGCAATATTTGATATTTCTATATTCGTGCAATAGTGTGAGTTGTGCAATAATCAATCAAATTTTGTATTGAATAATTTTTACATAGAGATGTGTAATATTTTATATTTTTATATTTTATGTTGTGAAATATTTAATGTTTTTTATATTGAGTTCTCTAATCTTCAATATTTCTATACTCCATCATTTTTGTCAAATATTCAGGATTTTTTAATTTTCATATCAGTAATTATTATTACTATTTCTTCATCAAGTTATACATCATTCAATAATCCTATCTTAAATCATTTTTATATTGAGTTATGCAATACTCAACTACTGTTACAAGAATATTAACCATCTAGCAATACAACTAACTCAAAATCAATCACAGTATTCTTCACACACCGTACTTAATCTCCCTAACATTGTTTGTTAACCTCCAGGAGTACCAGCACCGGAAGTAAGATGGTTCCGTGGCGAAAAGAAAGAACCCGTTTCAATTCCCAAAGCAAAAACCTTCACAGAATCTGGAGTGCACACATTAGTTCTACCGGAAGTGACTGAATCCGAGAGAGGAACATACATGTGCAGAGCAATCAACGCTTATGGTCACGTGGATAGTATCGCCACTGTGGATGTGATATCACCTAGTGCAATCGATGGTGGAAAGCCGGCCATGTTCGTTTCGAGGCCTTCGGAAAAATCTATCACTGTCACCTCCGGAGAAGATGTCAGCGTGTCCTTCAGATTTTCCGGAGTACCCAAACCCAAAGGTAACAAAACTTGTTCATAAATATTGAATTTGACACACTATAAATGTCATATGTTAATAAAATTCATTTTTATAAGATAAAAATTTGTTCCTTCAAGAAATATATGTATGTACTTAAACACTCTGTTTAAATTGTACTGAAGTTGTACAAGAATTCAGTTTATAAATATTTCATAAGTTACATTTTAATTTAGAAGTATTTTTTGTTTAAGAAATGTATTTAAAGGAAAGTTTTATAATATCTTAATTTGGAACATTTCGAAACTGCAGAAGTATAAATATTTTTGATGCTGAACTACATTTTAACAATGATATATGAACAATATGGACTTTAAAGTGATCGATTTCAATTCTGGAATAACTTATTCAAATTGATCACATCAAGCATACTAATAAATAGTATATATATTATACATATATTTAATAAATTATTTGAACTGTTGATGATTGGAGATTAATTTCAATTTTTCATCATCTTGCAGTGATTTGGATGAAAGGATTGACGGACATCACCGATGGTCTCCGATCTCACAAGGAAGTAATCGATGACTACGTGAGACTGACCTTGAAGAGGGTGACACCTTCCGATGAGGGCACCTACTGTATACTTCTCAAAAATAGATACGGTTGCGACAGAAGTTTCTTCTCCATCAAGGTAAATCTTAATATAAATACAGAAAACCTGCATTGATCGTTTAATGTTAGATCTACCGACTTCCAGTGGGCGCTTATTTTTAAATTGAAAATTAGAAGGTGGAACATAAAAATCGCAAACATGAAGTAGTAAAATGGAGAACATAAAATATTTATTTTTATAAAAAATTTGCAATGCAAAAATTTTTACTACGCGTTGGATATCCACACGTTGGATTACTGCGCGATAGATTACCACGCGTTGCATTATTACGCGTTGAATTACTATGCGTGGAATATGCACGCGCTAGATTACTATGCGTAGGATTACTACGCGTTGCATTACCACACGTTACATTACTACGCGTTGGGTTACCACGCGTCAGATTCCTACGCTTAGAATTACCACGCGTTGCATTACTACGCGTTGGACTACTACGCGTTGAATATCCACGCTCTGGATTACTACGCGTTAGATATCCACACCCTGAATTACTACGCGTTAGATTACCACGCATTAGATTCCTACGCTTAGAATTATCACGCGTTGCATTATTACGCGTTGAATTACTATGCGTGGAATATGCACGCGCTAGATTACTACGCGTTCGATTACCATGCGTCAGATTCCTACGCTTAGAATTGCCACGCGTCAGATTCCTACGCTTAGAATTGCCACGCGTCAGATTCCTACGCTTAGAATTGCCACGCGTCAGATTCCTACGCTTAGAATTGCCACGCGTCAGATTCCTACGCTTAGAATTGCCACGCGTCAGATTCCTACGCTTAGAATTGCCACGCGTCAGATTCCTACGCTTAGAATTGCCACGCGTCAGATTCCTACGCTTAGAATTGCCACGCGTCAGATTCCTACGCTTAGAATTGCCACGCGTCAGATTCCTACGCTTAGAATTGCCACGCGTCAGATTCCTACGCTTAGAATTGCCACGCGTCAGATTCCTACGCTTAGAATTGCCACGCGTCAGATTCCTACGCTTAGAATTGCCACGCGTCAGATTCCTACGCTTAGAATTGCCACGCGTCAGATTCCTACGCTTAGAATTGCCACGCGTCAGATTCCTTGTATTAATACACGTTGGATTACTACGCATTAGGTTCCTACGCTTAGAATTACCACGCGTTGCATTATTACGCGTTGGATTACTACGCGTAGTAA